AAGCATACGGTCTCTCCAGGGCTTTCTTTTCAGTCTGTAAAATGGGTCTACACAGCTGGCTCCTGCTTCCACAAACAGCAGTGGCGATACACGTAAGGGCTCAATATTTCTTTTCCCCAAACCCTCGGGGCCCCACAGAAGGGCTGATAGACAAATTACCTGCTTATTGGATGGACCCTCTTCTCCCCAAACCTACCCCAAGCCTCTATCTCCTGCTGGTCTTATTTGTTGCAAATCTTTGCCTCCTTCCAGGGGCCTGTGTGCCGGGCCTGGCCCTTACAGCAGAAGCAGCTGGAACAGGTCATGTTTGCCTTTCCTGGTGGGGGTGGGGGGTGGGGTTAAATTGCTTTTGCTTCTCCTGTTTCTTGCACCTGCCGCACTCCTCCTCTCTCCCTGCCCTCCCACGACAAAGTGTTTTCTGTTAAGTGGAGAAGCCCTCTCTTCCCCTGTCCTGCGTCCTGCCCCTCCTGGCTGCACCCCGGCCGCTCTCGCTGACTCTCAGGGGTTTTCCCTGAGCAGCATAACACTCCGGGCTCAGGCTGCCAAAGTCAAAAATAGGGCAGACAGGAGGGGAGGTGTGACAGGAGAGCCAAATAAGCCTTTCCTCCCACTCACCTTTGAACTTCAGAGGTACCTCAGCTAAAACAGCAGAGCAAGAGCGACCAAGAGAGGGGAAAATGTGCTTTTAAAGAATGAACTTGTCAGCTATAAGGAAGTGGAAAATATTGCTCCTCCATGCCTTGCACAGAACAAGGGGCCCATTCATGTTTCCTCCAGCATTATCCTAGGATGGGTGGAGACAGTGTACTGGCCTAGGTGGGAGGAGGCCATGGTGACCATGGTGACCATTAGGAGAGTGGAGTGTGTTCTCGAGTAGGGCGGCACTGCCCCCCACCCCCACTCTCCACCCTACAGCTCCCGGGAGCACTGGTGAGCGCTGGCCCTGTCTGTCCAGGCAGATGCACAGGAGCCTGCCCCCTGTCCAACACGCCCATTCTGAGACAGCTTCCCCGAGTTCTGTGCCTTAGTGTACGGCTGCCCATGTGTGACAGAGCCCTTTCGGACCCTACTCACTCCAAAGGGCCCCTGTGCCAACTAAGACAGTCCCAGACATGATGCTGCTTCCACACCCTGTTTCTAAGAAGCAGGGTGGGGTTGGGGAGGAGGGACACAGCTGTTAAGCTGCTACTTGGGACGCTCACATCCCATATCTGAGTGTCTGGGTTCAAATCCCAGCTCTACATCTGATTCAAGATTCCTGCTGATGTGCACCCAGCAGGTGATAGCTCAAGTACTTGGGTCCTTGCCACCCATGTGGAAGACAGGAATGGAGTTCTGGAATCTCAGCTTTGGCCTGGCCTAGCCCTGGCTGTTGTAGATTTTTGGTGAGTAAACCAGCAGGTGGAAGATTGTCTCCCCTCCCCTTCCCTTTCCTCTCCTCCCCTCCCCTCCCCTCCTCTCTATTCCCTTCCCTCCTCTCCCCTCCCCTCCTTTCCCTCCCCTCCTCTCCCTTCCCTTCCTTTCCCTCCCCTCCTCTCTCCTCTCTCCTCCCTTCCTCTCTCCTCTCCTTTCCTCTCCACTCCTCTCCCTTTCCCTTCCCTTCCCTTCCCTTCCCTCCTCTCCCCTTCCCTTCCCTCCTCTCCTCTCCTCTTCTCTCCCCTCTCTTCCTTTCCCTCCCCCCCTCCTCTCTCCTCTCTCCTCCCTTCCTTTCCCTCCCCTCCTCTCTCCTCTCTCCTCTCCCCTCCCTTCCTCTCTCCTCTCCTCTCCTCTCCCCTTCCCTTCCCTCCCCTCCTCTCTCCTCCCTTCCCTTCCCTCCCCTCCTCTCTCCTCTCTCCCCTCCCCTCCCCTCCCCTCCCCTCCTCTCCTCTCCTCTCCTCTCCTCTTCAAACAAAATCAGATGAATAGAACATGGGAAGACTGTCTGTCTTCCTGAGAGGATGAGAGCTGCAGCTTGTGGAGTGCTTGGGTTCTGTCTCCAGCTCTGACTCCTGAATCCAGCTTCCTGCTAATGTGGTCTCTGGGAGGCAGCAGGTGATTCTCAAGTAGTTGAATGCCTCCTATTACCCACATGGGAGACCTGGACTGAGGCCACAGTTGGCAGCTTTGGCCCACTGCAGTCACTGGGAATGAACCAATGGATGGGAGCTCTCTTTGTTCCGCCATCTCTGTCAGTCTCTCTCTCTCTCTCTCTCTCTCCATCTTAAACAAAATAAAGTAAAATAAAAGTAGCTATGAAGAATGACAGTTGCCTGCTGTGGATTAGGTGGAAAGGGGAGAGGGCGTCATGTCTCAATGCAGTAGAATGGGGAGGGGACATTGAGATAACTCCCTATTCTGAGGTGCAATCTGCTGCTCCCAGGTCCATATTTTGTGGATTGAACAATCTGATCTAGCGCACTCTCCAAGTGCCACGTTCCTGTCCATGGCTCCACTGGCTGCACACCTGAGATTCCTGTTCTGTCAGCTCCTCTTCCCTGTGTGTGAGTATGCTGTTCTTATAGGTTGAGATTGGCTCCTTCCCAAGCTGGAGGTGTATACGTGTCCGAACACTCACAGGAAATGCAGCATCCAGGCCTTCTGGCCCCTGAGCCTCTCTTGGAGGCTAACGGCCCTACCTCTGGAGCTTCTAGAACCTTCCAGCCAGAGACAAGGGATGTGAAACTTGAGAGTATTGGGAAATCGCCAAGGGCCGTGGGGAGAGGAAAGACTCCAGGCCTGAAGCAATGATCCAGTTTCCCCTTTCATCACCTACCCTGGCCTGAGTGGCTGCCCTCAGGATCGGGCTTCTACGGGGAAGGGGCCATAGACTTTTTTGGTGTGCTCAGATTGACAGCCTCACTTGCTGTTCATGGGAGGGAAACCTATAGAGAAGAAGCTGCCAGAATCGAGAGACGGATCTGGGTTTGAATCCTGTCTCCAGGCTGGACAATTTATGTAACCTCTCAGCCCCAAGGTGGCCTGAGTGACCACCCAAGGTGGTCCGAAGGAGTGTGGGACAGGGGCTCTGGGCTCCCATAAGCTTCTGACAAGAGTTAGCTCTGCAACCTAATTGCCAGATGCGAGGAGCCAAGTTGCTTCAGCAATCTCAAACTCCGTTTTCTCATTTGTAAGACATTACAATCATTAATAATAATAATAATGTCAACAATTAGTAAGATAATCAGTGCAAAGTTCTTTGCACACGCATGACACATAGGAAGGACTCAATGCATTGCATGTCTTGCAAATTTTATCCTTCTCATCAATGTCAACTAGGTTTCTGAATGGCTGTGTCTATTTTCTCAATGAGCCCATGCATTGTCCAGCTTGGCCATGTTTATTGAACATATTGGCTCTACCTTTATTCCAACCTCTGCTTTTGCTGTTGTTGGTTTTTTTTTTCCTTCTCCTGGATGAGGATGAACATCGTTTAAAGAAAAACATTGCTTCTACTTTTAGAGTTGCTCTATAATGTTCCTTTCAACAGTGTGTTACGAGAGAGAAAGAGAGATTTGTTGATGAATGTCCCAAATGCCCTCCAATCTACTCCAGTCCCCAAGATCCTGCATAAATTCCAGGTAATTCTGGGAAGCTGTCTTTGGTTGGAAGAAATTTTTTTTCCTCTTTCTCTTTTCAAGAGCCCTTTTACCATTTGCTGCTACATGGGTGATTTCAGAGACCAAGTGACTCCTCTCCCCAGGGCAGAGCATGCCCAGTTACTCTTTGGCACAGGACCTGGGAAGGAGCGCTTGGCCTAGACCACCTGGATTGAAGTCCCCAGCACCCACTGAGGTGAGGCTATCACCAGCCCATGCACCATTGTCCAGGTGCCGGGCCTGGGACTAAATGTGTGCCTCACTTAAGCTCGCAACCGGCTAGGGAGGCAGGAGCATGACATGACAGTGGGCTCCTTACATTGTGTATAAGATGTAGAGTGTGTGTGGCCAAAGCTACCCTTGAAAAACCTTCAGGAAGGCACCACGCAGGGACTGTCATAGCATTGCTCAGTAAGGCAACAAAGCTTGATTCTTTCCCAAAGCACCAGCACTGGTGGCTATGTGTGTGTGTGTGTGAGAGAGAGAGTGAGTGTGTAGAACCGAGTGAAGTAGCTATATTTTGTTCAGAGGCCGCTGCCACATTGCACAAATGCATTGCCTTTTAGACCCTGGCTTGGCTGTCTGACAACAAGTTGCTCCGTCTATAGAAATGCACAGTCTGACTGGTGAAGAAATTAGAAGATTCCCACTCCTGTCTCCAGGGAATGTGCTTTTTGATTGAAACACATGATGTCATCAACAGTGAATAAAACATGAGCTGTAAACACACAGTGGAATCCAAGGCACCAGCTGTAGCAATTGTCACTTCTAGCTTTCTGGTTTTTTCATTTGAAGGTTCTCAAGTTAAATGCATCTATTTGTTATGTGTGTATAAGGCAATTCCTCTGCTTTCCTATTTTACATATAGGGAAACCGAGCTCCCCAGATTTTAAGTTCTTGCCTAAGGTTGCACAGCACAGAGAAGCTCCCATCAGAAGGGAACCCGGGTTGGCCCAGGGCAGCGCCTTGCTCAGCCTTGGATGCCTGACGCACTACAGACTCACCCTCTCATTTCAACGGTAGCAGGCAGAGACTGCTAGAGACTAGGGCTGAGAGAAGAAGGGAGTTGGAAAGCATTCAAAGGGCATCATGCATGCGCCCCCCCCCACACCACAGCTCCCTGTTGCGGGAAGTTGTCTATATTTTAGGTCAATTGTCAGATGAATAGATATTCATCTGCAAAGCCCCAGCAGAGCAAGAACGTGGTGTAGACCCACGGGGTGGGGGTGAGGGAACAGGAGTTTTAACAGCAAAATGTTTGGGCTGGCTTGGGAGTTTAAGCGCCCAGGACCACGGGCGAGGTGGAGAATGACCTGCCCCGTCGCTCTGTCTGCATCTCAAGCCCTCAGAGCTGGGCTTCCTTGTTTACTTATTTAGAAGTCAGCAGAGGAAGTGGTAAAGGAAACTAGCCAAGTCGTTTTCTGAGAAGAGACCATATTTGTTCGCAGAGGAAGCTGCTGCTTTCTGGGATCCGACTACAGCAGAAAAGACGTCTGCTCCAACAAGGCCAATCCAGGGGCAGCTGGGAGTTGGGAGAGCCAAGGACGCCTCCAAGATCTGGATTTGGGGTTCTCTGTCCATGGGTGCAGCATCCACGCTCAACCTGTGAGCCCCCTCCTAGGACAGTGGCCATGGCACTGAGGAACGTGCCCTTTCGCTCCGAAGTCCTCGCCTGGGACCCTGACAGCCTTGCTGACTACTTTAAGAAGGTGAGACCCACTCTTTTGTTGGTGGTCGGGCTGGGAGTGCCCTCCATGGGCTGGGCAGAAGACAAGAGGTGTAAAAGACAGCTGTGGAGTGACTGGCCTCTCGGCAGCCTTGTTGGGAGAGTGAGCGCCATGGGAGACCACTGAGAGCTCCTTGCAGTGAGTTCTGGAGAGGAGGGTGGGAGCAGGAGCTCTTGAATGAGTAGGTGCCTACCATGTGCCAGGGCCTGAACTCGGTGCACTGCAGCACTGTGCCATTGATCCCTCTTGACAATCTTCTGAGGTCAATATTGTCATCCCTGTGGCTCAGCTTCAAGGTAGGCTCAAGGAAGCTAAACAGCCCAAAGCCACAGGGACTACAGGTGGTAGTGACAGAAGGATTGGAGTCACTTCTGTGCAGTTTCAGTCTGTGCTCTGAGATGAAGAGAACTACATTCTAGAAAGGGGAGACCTGGTGCTCTGGGCGCAGAACAACAGGCAGGGAAGGAGAGAGGGGTAGAGGGTGAACAACGCTAGACATGGCGTTTGGCCACTCACTGCTCAGGGCCCAGAAAGCTGGGTCCTCAAGTTCTTACATAGATCAGAGTCTCACTGCAGTGGAGCCGGGACCAGGGTTGCTGTCCTACCTTCCAGACTTGGAAGAGATGCTCAAAGATTGTCTGCTTGTCCACCTGCTGGTGGGGATGACAGGACACAAGCCTGCCCGAGCAAGTTTCACATCACAGGCTGTTATGGATCCTCTGTCCCTGTCTCTAGCATAGGATGCCTTGCAGGGGACATTTGCTCTTTTTTTTTTTAAGATGTATTTATTTGTTTGAAAGTCAGAGTTACACAGAGAAAGGAGAGGCAGAGAGAGAGGGAGAGAAAGAGCGAAAGAGGTCTTCCATCTGCTAGTTCACTCCCCAGTTGGCTACAACGGCCAGAGCTACGCCAATCCAAAGCCAGAAGCCAGGAACTTCCTCCAGGTCTCCCATGTGGGTGCAGGGGCCCAAGGACTTGGGCCATCTTCTACTGCTGTCCCAGGCCATAGCAGAAAGCTGGATCGGAAGTGCAGCAGCCCATATGGGATGCCGGCGCTTCAGGCCAGGGCGTTAACCCACTGTACCACAGCACCAGCCGAAGGGACATTTGCTCTTCTAACATCCTCTTCCCTGCAGGCTGGCACCACATTTAGTTGATACTGCAGACCAGCATAAAGAAGAGCTTGTAGCACTAAGACTTTACATGTCATCTCACTTAACTGTCTGTTTTTCCTGGGGAAACTGAGCCCCACGGGGGTGGAATAGGCTCTCCGGGACACATAGCTGAACCTGAGGTCTCATAGTACCAAGGTATTTGCAGTGATGATGGTTCTTCCCCAGCCTAAAAGCAAAACCCTTGAACACATTGAACCAGGTGTGGCAAGGTAGGGGCACAGCCCCACAGAGCCTGTCGTTTTCTGTTTTTTGTGCATTTCATTTCTGTTGTCCCCCTCTGCCTCCACCCCACACATGTATAAAGTCATAACAAACCTACGTTTCAGGTTTGTAGATGCAAAGATCATTGGACAACTGGCCCGACTGGCCTTTGAAGAGTGTTTCTAATACTTCTCTGAGATAGGGCGATCAAAGGTAAAATTTGCCCAGATGGAAGTATGTGGTACGTTATTGCAATAAAGAAGGGAGAAAGGAGTTGAGAGTTACAGAGGGAAAGGCCCAGGAGAGGCTGAGGGGCTATTTCAAATGTGGTCAGAAAAATTTCACAACTCAGCTGACCGACAGAGAGTCTGTAGACAAAGTTCCTGTCAGCGCAGGGCGATAGGACAGACTGGAGGGCAGGACACAGCTCTCTGTCTGAGTTCGGGGAAGAGATGATTCTCTTCTTGGAGTTCTAAGACCTTGCAAAAACTGCATAGCACTGGGCCAGGTTCCCCTCCCGGCACAAAAGGACCCAGGTAGGAACAAGGAGGCAGAGGGGAATCTGTGACCCTGGAAGTTCCAGGCCATCTCAGTCCCCAAGAGACAGAACCAGGAGCGCACTGACTGCAAGTTCATTTGGGGATGGATCTTAGTGATCAAGCATACCATTTAACGCATCAGTGGGTAGGCGTTTGGTGGGTGCAGCTTCTACCCACGTGTCAGGGTCAGGCTTCCCTCAGTGATACCACGCTGCCCAACTCTGGAGTCAGACACACCTTGTTGGAACCCTGGCTCTGCCACCTGCTAGTTTGGTGGCCTTCCCTTAGCTACTTCGCCTCTCTGAGCAAGTCAGTCCTCAAGAGAGAAAACATTGCTCAACACAGGGTCATCTGGGGATGGATCTTGGAAATAAAATGTGTCATTCCACGGGTTGATTGGTAGATGATTGGAAGGCAATTGGTAGGCACAAGTTCTACCAAAGCAGGCAATTAAACAGACATGAAGGGTAACAAACCCAGTGGAATGGTTGAGAGGAGTAAAGGAAATAGTGTATGTGAGGCATTCAGCAGACAGAGGTATCAAAATGTTTATTGCTCCCAGTTTCCTGCTGTGTTAACTGGCCCCTCTCTGGTATGTGGATCGCAGGGCTCTAAGTCTTTTTACCTCAGATGTGTTTCTCATCCTGTATCTGGGATTAAGACCTAGGTTGTGTTTGGTGATTCTTATCAACACGGAGGGACAACATCCCTGGGCCCTGCCCTGGAGAGACACTAGCTCAGAGCAGTGTGCTTGAATCCCAGCCGCGTTCCCAACTCCCCACGTGTCCTTACGCGAGTCCCTTCCCCTCTCTGGGTCTCAGTCATTGAGCCACAAAGCCAAGCAACCTCCACACTAGTGCTTACCAAAGCCAGATGCTCATCAGAATTATCAGAGCGATCCAGGGCCCCTGTTACAAATACAGAATCTAGATCCCCTGGGCCCAGATCTTGCTGGATCAGGTCCCAGTCTTCAAGGCTGCCTGTCAAGCCAGAGTCGAAATCCCGTACCCTGCAAGATTGGAGACTCATCAGATAATGACAGTGAAAATGATGCGTTAGAGGCAGTTGACTCTTCTAAGAAGTGCTCGCACCCCCCACACGTAGATAACAGAGCTGTTGAGCTCAGCGCTGCTTGCTTGCTTTCTTTCTTTCAGAAAGCTTTTATTTAATAAATATAAATTTCTTTTTAGATAAAGTTTGGAATATAGTGGTTCTTACCACCATACCTGCCCTCCTAACCCCACTCCCGTCTCACCTCTTACTCCCTCTCCCATCCCATTCTTCATTAAGATTCACTTTTAATTTTCTTTATATACAGAAGATCAACTCTATACTAAGTAAAGATTTCAACAGTTTGCACCCACACAGACACACAAAGCATAAAGTGCTGTCTGAAGACAAGTTTTACTCTTAATTCTCATAGTACAACTCATTAAGCACAGAAGTCCTACGTGGGGAGCAAGTGCACAGTGACTCCCGTTGCTGAAGTAACAAGAGTACTGTTGCTTTCAGCATCGCCTCACATATTTGTTTTCTGAGTGTGATGTTCATCCCACCTTTCCAAGCCAAGTGGTTACAATTGCATTTACTTTCGGATTTGAAGGCCATAAGTGAAGAACATGATTGTAAGATGCATGCTTGTGGGAGAACCCAGGATCCTCAGAGAAAAATGTTTAACCCTAAATGCTCTAGTCCAAAATACCAAAGTTGGAGATATTTCAAATGCAAATGGGTATTTCCTATGGTTGGCAATGGGTTTAGGAAAATAACCAAGACCCTAAAAACATTCATTCCCATTGATCCTATAAGTCTATCTGAGACTGACTTAAGCCATGTGTTTTAAGTAGAAAGAACAAGATTATGCCAAGGAATATCCATGATGTGCTAGGTCTCACTCTGGATGGTGGATCAAGCTGCACTTTGATTTGTTCACTTTACTTGCTATGTAGGAGGGTATTTCCAAAGCTTTATGAAAAAATGAATTAAAAGATGTCTACTTTGATGGAAAAACTTGAAACTCATGTAGTCATGAGGTCTTCAAAAAGTTCATGGAAAATGTATATATGTGAATTTCAGAAATTGTTTGCACCAGAATAAACTTATTTTTAATTCCATTTCCACAAATTTTCTAAAGTACCCCCCTAGAAGTTATGCTGTTATTTAAAAGGAAATATTCGTGGCAGAAGCGTGGCAGATGCGTGGCAGCCTTTTCCTCATGCCCGGTTGTCACCTCTGTCACCTGCAACCCATGGAACCTCATGCAAGTTACTGGACTCTGAGCCTCTCGCTCCGCTTCTGCAGAGTGTCACGACTACATGACAGGACTGGCTTAAATACTCGCAACAGTGCCTACCGCATAGGAAGCATTTATAATTATTAGCAGTGTTCATCCGCATTCTTGGAACAGCACTTTAGTAAATAACCTAAATGTCCAGCAATAAGGGAGCAGCGTGAAGCATTAAAGAAGTCTGTAATAATACCAGGCAGTGAGCATATGATCATCTTAGGTCATTTAAGAGAGAACAGTGTAGGATAACAAGATTGAGCGTAAGTGATAGACTCAGCCACACTGGGGAATATGCCAGGGAGAAAGCACGTGGGAAACACGTTGCTGTGTTCACTGAGGTGGCCTCCAGTGGCCGGAGAGCGGCTGGGACACGTGTCCCCTTTCAGCTCCTCTCTGCTTTCCTAAGGAGCCTGGGGTCAGCCCTTTCGGTGTGCCCCGAAGTCAGTCTCATTGTGGAGGCTTAGGCCTCAAGGCCTTAGAGTGAGCCATTTCTTCATTACAGGCGGTCCCAGGGGGCTAGTGAAAACAGGGCTGAGGGGGGATGCGGCCCCTCTGTGAGACGAGGGAGGAAAAGGGGAGTCTGGCTAGCCACAAGGACCACAAATTGCTGAGCTTCTGGGGCAGGCGAGGGAGGGGGACCAATGGCAGAAGCTGCTTGTCACTGACAGCACCCACCCTGCTTCTCATTGCAGCTCAACTACAAGGACTGTGAGAAGGCGGTGAGGAAGTACCACATCGATGGGGCTCGGTTTTTGGTAAGCTGAAGCCAATCACATACACTGAAACCAAGAAAGTTCACACTTTCTGCAAATGACTGTTTGGTCAACTGGTCTACCTTGTCCCAGGGGACAGTGTGGTCAATGTCTGTCTTTAAGGTCCCCATGTAACCTTTTCTTTCTTCAGAGTCTTGGCAGGTTTCATGCCCTCACCACCTCTCAGGTTTCTCCTATCCAAAGCCCCTCTCAGAACTTTGACTGATACAAAACACACTCTAAAGTCAAAGTAGAAGAAGAAATTGGGGCCAGCGCCATGGCTCACTAGGCTAATCCTCCGCCTTGCAGCGCCGGCACACCGGGTTCTAGTCACGGTCGGGGCACCAGATTCTGTCCCAGTTGCCCCTCTTCCAGGCCAGCTCTCTGCTGTGGCCCGGGAGTGCAGTGGAGGATGGCCCAAGTGCTTGGGCCCTGCATCCCATGGGAGACCAGGAGAAGCACCTGGCTCCTGGCTTCGGATCAGCGCGGTGCGCCAGCAGCAGCGCACCGGCCGTGGCGGCCATTGGAGGGTGAACCAACGGCAAAGGAAGACCTTTCTCTCTGTCTCTCTCTCTCACTGTCCACTCTGCCTGTCAAAAAAAAAAAAAAAAAAGTAGAAGAAGAAATGCAGACAATTGAAAATGAAACCACTTTGACAATCTATTCAAATCCCATCCCCCATCCGTAGTTTGAGAAGCTCAAGCAGAAAAGAAAAACCATAAGAGAGAACAGAAGAATCTTGCCTCTTACTTTGCACTCTGGGATGCATAGCCATTGTGTGGAACAAAGGGTGGAATCACTATCATTATTTCAATTGCTTTTCTCATTCCTATTGTTGATTTTGTGTCAAATGCACATGTGATGGGGCTCTCTCCACAGCATTAGAATTCACAGGGCTTTCAGTGTAAGACCGAGGTGGAGGTGAATGTCAAGGATGAGCCATCAGAGAGAAAGGAACTCAGCTCTGATGGAGACCCAGGCATTAGTCTGTGGACCGGGAGGAAGCATTTCCCCCAAAATGACACCTTCACTGGGGGTTAGGAGCGGCCCGGCAGCCCCAATCCATCCCATCAGGTTATGTTGCTTCACCCTTTGCAAAAAGAATGGAAACAAGACTTCAAGGTCTCTGAATCTGGGTTCAGAGTGAGGACTGCAACTTAGGTTGTTTCCCTGTAAGGAAACTTGACCACAGCGAGGGTGCCTGCTCCTGCTTGCCACCCAGCAAGCTAATCCATGTCTTAGGTTGCATTCCTGCCACCTACATCTTCTTGAGTTGCTTCAGTGATGGTGAACAGAGCCATGTATTCTGTTAGGGGCAGCTCTGGAGTCTCACGAGGAGACAAAATCTGGGCTCTATTGATCAGAGTTTCGCTTCCAGATGCCATAAAAAAACACGTTTCTTCACTGTTCCAGTAGATCGTGACACATCCATTCATTGGATAAGCAGAAATCCATTCGTGGGCTCCCGCCACGAGCTGGGGATAGGGGCATGAGTAAGATGCAACTCTTGCCTTCCAGAAGCTGATTTTACAGCAGAACGCCATCGGGAAAGCTCCAACCACCTCATTGGCAGATGAGGGAATGCATGCCAAGGGCTGATGTGATTCGTCCTAGCAGGCAGGCTAAAGCGTACATTTAATTTAGTCCAATACTGTATGAGTTTTTAACAATGTCACTTAATCATACTGAGATTTAAATCAATAGAACTCCTGGAGTCTTGTTGTTGCTGTCCTTGCAAGTTACTACCAAACCGCAATATTCCATTCTGGTGCCTGAGAGCAGAGACTTACCATGGCTGAGTGAAAAGGGCGATGGCATCTCTGAGGACGTCCCGGTCGCAGCCTTGTTACACTGGGCTGCCTTGAGCGGGCACTTGCCCTTGCTGAGCCTCTCTGTGCTCCCTCTCTCTGTTGATTGAGCATCTTGGCCCAGGCCACAGTGAGTGACATCCCCCCCTCAGCTCTGTGTCAGCCAGGCAGGACAGGCTGGTTTCCTTGGTTGAGGCTTGGTGTCTAAGCAGTGAGGTTTCCTCTGCTCTGATCTGGGACCCAGCAGCCTCTCAGAGAATGCAGCACACTCTGTTCATTGTGTGAACAGAAGGAAGTGGAATGAGGCGATAGGAGTCAGGAGACAGAATCCAGTGCCTGCCCTAGCAACTGGAGCAGCTAAAATCAGCTCCTGCCGAAACCCGTCTTCCACCCCTGGTTCTCTGGGTACAATTTGCAATTCCCAGTCTAAGTTCTAATTTCTCATCTGTCATTCCTCCCAGCCCTGTAATACCCAGAGCCATTCTGCTACTAATGGCAAAAGTGCAAGGCCTGGTGTTCCCTTCCTTCCTCCCTTCTTGCCTTTCTTTCTTCATAGTAGGTCCCTTGAAACTGTCGTGCTGCCATTTTTGTTTTCTATTGAGAAGGATGGGAGCTGGTTTGGCAAGGAATGGTGACCGTGATTCTAGGAGGTGTAGGAGATGAGCTTGTGACTTGTGTCATGGGAAGAGACATGGCTGCGTGTCATAGAAACCTTCCTCCAGTGGCTTAACCAAACAGGGGTTGCTCTTGTTTTTCTCAGATAATCAGAAACGTACGGGTGGGTTCTCAGGGCAAGTGTGCTGCTGAGGGAAGTCATCAAAAACCCAGGCTCCGTCTAGCCTGTGGCTTCCGTCCTAATGGTTGCGGGTTGGTGTCTCCACATCTAGGCATTAAATCAGCATTGCAGCCTGCAGGGAGAGGGCAGGGAAACAGGTAAGTGGGAATGTATCTCCCTCCCTTATTTTTTTTTTCTTTCAAGAAAGCAGCCCAAAGTCTCAGCCAGTAGACCTCATGCTCTATCTCACTGGTCACAGGGAGTCACGTGACCTCTGCAATCTGCAAGGGCATCTAGCATGCTCACTATCATGAACAAAACCCAGATCCTGTCGGTAAAGAAGAGAGAGACTGAACACACAAGCAGCACTGTCTGCTGCATCATCTCTCCGGGAGGGGTTCCCAAAGGGCCTGGACATGGGAGGAGGGAAGTTTGCACGAGGAAGGAGACTGTGGAAATCACAGAGCGAAGTCCATCTCCAGTTTCGTCACCTACAAGCTGAAACGCCCTTGGCATCCTCAAGTCTCAGCCTTCCCCGTCTATAAAGTGAGAAAGCCCATCCTGCCTCACAGGATCGATGTAAGGATCAATCAAAAGTTAAAAGGCAGAGGCCCAGAGGAAAGTCTTGACAGATATGGATTTCTCTCTGCTTTTTCCTATTTGTTCCCTTGAAATAACCTTTTCATCACATCTCTACATCTCGAGATTTCTACCAACATCTCTGGTGAAGGGGTTTTGGGGGATGGTGGTATAAGGGGCACAAACCCTTTCTCCAGCCTGACTTCTCTACAGCTGATCCATGTGGATACCCCAAAGGCTCGGTAGGCGTGTAGGGAAAGATCACCACACAGCCCACAAAATGACATCTGTTGGTCTCCAAGATTTAGCCCTCACGGTGTTTGTTTAAGTTAAAATTATTGTCAACATTGAGAACCTAGAAAATTCCACATAAAATTCAGATTTCAGGATTCCTTTCGAAAGATGGAGAAGCCACTCACTTGTGGGGGCTGGGGGGAGCAATACTCCAGCTTGCCACAGTCTCCACTATACCTTAGATTGTTTCATACGTTGTTCTTTGCACTTGGCAGAGAGCTCTTCCCGCAGGTTGTAACCTGAATGCCACGCGTGTCTTTATTTCAGAACCTGACCGAAAATGACATTCAGAAGTTCCCTAAGCTCCGGGTGCCGTGAGTACTTCCTCTGATTTGCTGGGTCGGGTTGGGAGAAGGGAGATGGGAATGGGGAGCAGTCCAGGGAAGCTGAGTGAGCTGTATGTCACTGTTGGTTTGAATTAGAAGATTCAGTAGGAAGGGTGGGGGCAAGGGCAGGGTATGGGGAGGGGCAGTTACACACGTTAGAAAAGGGAAGTTACCGAGCCAGTCCTGTCCCTTTGCTAAAGTCGCCCTCTGCTCTGCACCGTGTTTTCATCTCCTGGCTTCCCAGTGGGGTAGCATGAAAATAGCACCCAAGTCAGAAGACCTGAGCCTCATTAACTCAGTGATGACTTGAGTTTTCTGGGCCTCCATGTCCAACTCAGCAAAATGAACGAGGTGAAGAAGGCCATGAACGTCATTTTGTCGGTAATACTAAGCAAAGACGGCTAGCGGGCTGTCGTGCTAAGAAGAATCCCGAGGAAGGGGAGCCATGATTTATTGTTGATTTCTGCCCTTAGGGGAGAAGTTGTACATAATGCCATGTATGAGAGCACCTAAAAAATTTCACGGAAAAATTGAATGAAAAGATAAGTTTATCTGAGCTTGGCTGATTTCACTCAACATAAAGACCTCCAGTTCCAACCATGTTGTCTATTAAAGTTTTTTAAAACATGCATTTGTTTTGATGCAAAACATTTTGAAATCCACAGTTTCTTCAATATATATATATATTCATGAACTTCAAGACCCCTTGCATGACGGATTTTATAAAGTTTTGCACCTAAATAAACTTATCTTTCAGCTCCATTTTCCATGAACTTTTAAAAATATCATCAATTTATCCTAATTCTGGTGAAAGTCTCGTGAACTTAAATGCCTACAGGAACCAACAGGTGATATAAATGTATTAAATGGGCCAGGTTGAAAACACAACGCCCTATTGATTTATTTTTCATTTTACCACAGTTGAATAAAACACGGGTGTGGAGCATAAGAAAAAGAATACCATAGTTGTGATGCTAAAAAGAAATAGTAACCAAAACAAAGCCTCATTGCCAGCAGAATAAAGGGGAGTAGTGGGAATTATGGGAAATCTAACATTGTTTGCTCCATTCAGAGAAGGCAGAAGATACTCAGGTCCAGCCAATGTGGACTCCAAAATGCCCAACCTTCCAAGTTATCAAGAGTGACTGTAGATATGGTTGTTTTTTTGTGTGTTTTTTTTTTTTTGTTTGTTTGTTTTTTTGACAGGCAGAGTGGACAGTGAGAGGGAGAGACAGAGAGAAAGGTCTTCCTTTGCCATTGGTTCACCATCCAATGGCCGGCGTGGCCAGCGCGCTGCAGCCGGCGCACCACGCTGATCCGATGGCAGGAGCCAGGTACTTCTCCTGGTCTCCCATGGGGTGCAGGGCCCAAGCACTTGGGCCATCCTCCACTGCACTCCCGGGCCACAGCAGAGAGCTGGACTGGAAGGGGGGCAACTGGGACAGAATCCGGCGCCCCGACCGGGACTAGAAACCGGTGTGCCGGCACCACAAGGCGGAAGATTAGCCTAGTGAGCCGCGGTGCCGGCCAGATATGGGTTTAAGTAATATATAGTATCCAAGTTGTAAATGTTCGTTCAAATATTTAAAAATATCGGAAAAGTTGGCCGGCGCTGCGGGTCACTAGGCTAATCCTCCACCTAGCAGCGCCGGCACACCAGGTTCTAGTCCTGGTCAGGGCGCCGGATTCTGTCCCAGTTGCCCCCCTTCCAGTCCAGCTCTCTGCTGTGGCCCGGGGAAGGCAGTGGAGGATGGCCCAAGTCCTTGGGCACCTGCACCCCATGGGAGACCAGGATAAGCACCTGGCTCCTGCCTTCGGATCAGCGCGGTGCACCGGCCGCAGCGCGCTGGCCGCGGCGGCCATTGGAGGGTGAACCAACGGCAAAAGGAAGACCTTTCTCTCTGTCTCTCCCTCTCACTGTCCACTCTGCCTGTCAAAAAAAAAAAAAAAAAATCGGAAAAGCCAAAGCAAACACACCTGTGAACTGGATTTAATCTGGGTGTTACCAGTTTACATTCTGAGAGTTCAGTGAGGTCCTTTCTATTGCTCTAAGGGCCTCAAAACTCATAATGATAAAAAGGAAGTAGGCAAAGGAAGTAGCAAATTGAGAGATCTCGTGAATAGGTAGGAATGCCAGTGTGGCTCAGCTAAGGAGAGTATTTTGAGCATGACTATTAGTTTCCCCTTGTCTGGAAAGACAAAGGTGAACCTGGAATCAGAATTTGCTTTTGTGTCGCCCATCTCTGGAGATGTTGTCGAAGACTGCTTCATCTTTCTAAGAATTTCCTCTAATCCCATGTCACTTTTTAAATTTATTATTATTATTATTATTTATTTGAAAGACAGAGTCACAGAGAGAGGTAGAGACAGAGAGAGAGGTTCTCCATCCTTTGGTCCACCCCTCAGATGGCTGCAATGGCCGGAGCTGAGCCAGTCTGAAGCCAGGAGCCCAGAGCCTCCTCCAGGTCTCCCATGTGGGTGCAGGAGCCCAAGCACCCGGGCCATCCTGCACCACCCTCCTAGGCCACAGCAGAGAGCCGGATCAGAAGAGAAGCAGCAGGGACTAGAACCAGCGCCCATGTGGGATGCCGGTGCCTCAGGCCAGGGCGTTAACCCACTTCGCCACAGCACCGGCCCCATACTTTTTAAATTTAAATTTAATTTAACTTCAATGAGTGTTCTCAGAGGCACTAGCCACATTTCAATAGCTACATAAAGTTGGTGACGACTATCTAGAACACTTCCATGATGGCAGATATGTGATGCTTCAGAGACAATTCAGAGTTCTGTGTAAAAGAGAGGTCTTAACACACAGGGATCAGAACTGACTGCTGGAAGGCCAGATCTAGCCAGGTATATTCAGTTTGATCTACATTACAGTTTAAAATCAAGAAAATTATCACAGACTCCATTAGAAACAAGGGGGAGATGTAGTCATCAAAGGCCCATTTTTGGCGACATCAGCAGAACCTGATACCCACTGCCTGGTTAGAGGGGATTTGGGGTCTCTAGTTCACCATGGTCCAGGCCTCTCCATAGGGAATTATTCTAAGTTATTTATATCATATACATGGAGATTTTGACTTTCTGAGCAAGATGAAATAATAGGAATTAGGTTCACTTTCCCACCTGAAATAACCAGATAACCTGGCAAAATACATAAAGCAGAAATTTTTAAGACATTGGACATGAGACAAGGAGTGGTGAAAAACCATGACTGAGGGAACATAGGAGGAACATAAAGAGACAGCAACGAGAGTCCAGGGTCTGGAGTTCATTGAAGAGGCGCCAGACAGGAGAGAGCTGCATGAAGAGCATCCTAGAGCTATGCAGAGGGTCCCTCTTCAGCAGAGGGCTCATCAGTACATGCATGCGGGCAAACTACCTAAGCTACCCTTAGAATGAGAGGAAACCGTGGCCAATGATAGGGCAGGAAAGAGTGCCTGTTTCTACCCACCAGGCCAGGAAACCTCCAGATTCAGTCACTGGTTTGAGAACAGAGAAGGATTTTGCCTCTGTGGTGGAGAGTAATGATCCCTAATCTAGAAACGGCTCTGATCTTATTTAGCAAATTTAATTGTTTCCAAATAACTGGGGTAAAATTTTGAAATAGGAAAATTAAAAAATATTCATTAACCCAACAAAGCAAATTTCACAATATTTGGGACCCAATCAGACAGTAACAGACATGCAGACAAGCAGGAAAACAAGAGCCAAAGTGACCAAAACGAACACCAACACATCAAAATAACTCATAAGTGACACAAATATTAAAATTAGCAGAAAGAACAAAATAACTGTATTTCTTGTCTTCAAAAAATCAAGGCATAGTAAATACAAAAAGACCCAAACAAAACCTTTAGGGAGCAAAACAGAAATGTCTGAGATGATAACTAAATTGCTTGAGCTTAATGGCAGATTAGACACTGCGGAAGAAAACATTAGTAAACATGAAGACATAGTAAGGAAAACTACTCAACATGATGCACACAGAGAATAAAGGTAAAAAAAAAAGAAAAAAAAAATTCAGAGAACCATAGGGTACTTCAAATAATCAAAGATACAAGTAATTAAAATTCCCAAAGGAGAGAATGTACATGTGGAGAGGGTGAGGAGGGACAGAAATGAAACATTTTGAGATACAGTGGATGCACGTTTCCCAAGTTGGATGAAAATTTAAAAACCCACATATCCAAGAGGTTCAACAAACCCCACGGAAGGAGAGAGAAAAAAGACTCATCGCACACAGATGAGCAAATATAAGGATGAGAGCAGATTTCTAAACCTAGAGTTCTATACTGTGCGAAAAAATCCATCAAAGCTGAAGGTAAAGACTTCCATACATGCAAAACCTGAAGGAACTCATCACCAGCTTACTCACACTACAAAAGCATTGAAGTCCTTTAGGCAGAAGGAAGGTGCTACTTGACACCAGATCTTAATCTGGATTTGCATAAGGTAAGGAAGAGTACAAAGGAAGAGTGACAGGTGGGTGCAGATATGTGCTGGCTCTGGAGGTACTGAATTTGCATCTCTTGGCCCCTATACAGACTAATACTTTAACTTCATTTAACTAGTAGTTAACTTCATTCACTTAGTAAATCACAATGTGCCAGCCTGTGTTAATTACTCAGTCTGTAGAGATAATGGACACACACATCCTCTAGGGAGGGCCAGATGTACAAACAAATTAATTATACTACAACATTAACTGTGCCATAGCACATGCATGTACACATTCAACGGGAGTGGGAAAGTAGGAGTAAGTTTTTCCACAAGACTTCTGGGAGGGAGGGACCTAAGGTAAATCTTGAAATATCCCAGGAGTGGTCAAAGAAGGGATTAGAGTGCATTCTAGAAATGGGGGAAGCACTGCAAAGTCAAAGGGCTCTAGCATAGTTGGCAGAACTACTAACAGATTGGAGTAGCTGGGGTCCACACACACAGGAGTGGGGAAAAAATAGGCTATGATGATGGTGGGTGTTATG